AGTTTCTAGGTTTCATATATGGTAAAAATTAAATTCTAAACCCAACATAGGTGCTCTCTTTTTTTAGTCTTGGAAGGTTTGTATTTGAAACGGAATTTAGTTTGGTCATATATCTATGTAGTCCAAAAAGTTTAAAATTAAAATCGAAACTTTTAACCGTGCACTGAGCAAAACTACTTGAGAAAAAAGCATTAGTTTAATAGCACGTACACGTGATAGAAGTAAAAATTCTTAAAAAAAGCACATGTGTGCGCCACACACCCGGTAGAAGTCTTAACAAAAATGAACTACGAGACAATCAGACGAATACAGTTGTTTATTGTATCCAAAGTTGTTACCAAGTTGATAAGTTTTTATCATATATCTTTATACCCGAGCGCACTTGTGCACAAGGGTATATTAATTTTGTTCACATAACGGTTGTTTGTAACAGCCAAAACGAATCGAGATAGATATAGACAAATGTATACATAAATGCTCAGAATGAATAGAGAAATCGATTAAGCCATGTCTGTCTGTCCGTCCGTCTGTCCGTCTGTCCGTCCGTCCGTGTACACGATAACTCGAGCAAAAATTTAGATATCGAAACGAAATTTGGTGTGTAGGTTTCCGTTAATCCAAGGTAGGTTGGTATTGAAAATGGGCGAAATCGGACTGTAACCACGCCCACTTCCTATATAACGGTAATTTCCAGAAATACGAAAACTGCGATATTTTAGTAACTACTGAAGATAATTCTCTCAAAATTGATATTTACAATAATTTCAGACGAAAAGTAAAAATATTATAATCTTTTGAAAAATGGGCGTAGCCATGCCCACTTATGGTTACATGTGTATATCTTGGTAACCGGTACACCAATTTCTTCCAAACTTAGCACAATTGTTAGCCTTGCTACAGCAAGCTATATGGCCGAAAATTTTAAAAATCGGTCAATAACCACGCCCACATCCCATATAACGGTAATTATCGGATATACGAAAACTACGATATTTTAGTAACTATTGAAGATTATTCACTCAAAATTTATATTTACAACAATTTTTAGACCAAAAATAAGAATATTATAAATTTTTGGAAAATGGGCGTAGCCACGCCCACTTATGGTTACATGTGTATATCTTGGTAACCGCTGCACCAATTTCTTCCAAACTTGGCACAGTTGTTGGCCTTGGTACAGCATACTAAATGGCCGAAAATTTAAAAAACCGGACAATAACCACGCCCACATCCCTTATAACGGTAATTTAGAGAAATACAAAATCTTCGATAAATCAGTAAATATTAAAGCTAATTTATTCAAAATTGATGCTTACAACAATTCTTTACCAAGAAATACGCCTATCGTAAAATTTTGGAAAACGGGTGTGGCACCGCCCACTTATGATCACATATATGTATATCGGTAACCGTTCCACCAATTTATACCAAACTAGGTATTTTTATTGTACTTGCCACATAAAAGCATAACGTTGAAAATTATTGAAATCGGACTAAAATTACGGCCGCTTTTCATGTAACGGTAAATTTCAGAAATGCTTAAAACTGCAATATTTCGAAATTTAAGGACGCTAATTTACACTTACCATCTAGCGGTAGCTTTCGGAAAGGTGAAAAAACATATATTTAATACTTGCGCCGGGTATTTAATGTTCGGCTCCACCCGAACTTAGACTTTCTTACTTTTTTTTTTATTTTAATTTTTTCGTATACAGAGGATATGATCATTCTTTTTTACTTTATTCCGTATACGAAAAATTATATGTTTTAATGGACACATCGCTTTGAACACATAATTTAGATTTATATAATATTTTAGCAATTTGGTTGAGAAAAATAAAACATTTAGATTATTGTTTGTATTTTGGTCGATTTTAAATTTGCTACCCCAAAATAATTGATATCAAATAAAACACCTCTTTGAGGTAAAATTTTCGAGTGACGAAAGTTGAAGTAGAAACACAAAATTTATGATATCAATTTCGGGCCGAAAATTATACGCATTTTGTAACTGCCTTTGAAACGTACGAAAAATCTTTTTTTTTATTTATTCGGAACGTTGCAAAATTCCGTCTACTGCTAGAAACATAAAATAAAAAAAAAACGTTAAGTTTTAAGTTATATTTTTTGCTCGGACAATAATGGTTACGTTTTATGTTTTATTTTTTGCTCAGAAAATAATCGTTACGTTTTAAGTTTAATTTTTTGCTCGAAAATTAATCGTTATTTCTTGAGTTTTATTTTTTGCCCAGGAAATAAAACTTAAGTTTTGCGTATGCGCATGAGTATAGACAGGGGACGGCTGCATTGAACTTTTAACGCCACTGTGGAGTGGGTAATGAAAATACAGAGAGCAAGATAAAAGGGCAGAAACAAAGACAAGGGCTATGACCAAACCGCAGACACCCACAACCTCAATTGAAGGATAAAGCCAATGATAAAGATAAACAACAGGACAAAGTTAAAGATAAGTAAAAAGACAAGGATAAAGATAATGATGAAGATCATGATCAAAATCAAGATCAAGACAAAGATGAAAATGAAGACAAAAATAAAGATAAAGATAAAGATAAAGATAAAGATAAAGATAAAGATAAAGATAAAGATAAAGATAAAGATAAAGATAAAGATAAAGATAAAGATAAAGATAT